ACATTGAAAAGTTATTACAAAGTTGTCTGAATTGTATATTATTACAAGCTCAACACTTTTTGTTTTTCTTTTCACACGTTGATCAACAACAGCTTTTGTAGTAATGTGTATTTTGTACAATAACATACAAAGATTTTAGTAAGAAGATGGAAACTATAAAGGAACAAGAGTACTTTTATAACGTGAACAATACTTGTTAATCATTGTCTTTCAAGATCTATTACACGATCTTGGTCAACGCGAGAATGATCGTTCCTGTCCGAAGATCTTTCCCTTGTCAGAATCCTCCGAAACGAATCTAACCGCGAAACCGATGACACGCCACTCTTGTAATCCGACGAAGATGCACCGTCCCCAACTGGCCCTTCTCTTGGCTCAGGCTCAAGCCTTTGACTCGGCTCGACTTCACTTCTACAAATGGGACAACTAGAACTCGTGGTGAGCCATGTGTCAACGCATGTCACGTGGAACACGTGCTTGCACTTTGGTAACATCCTGGCCATATCTTTCTCCTCCAACAAGGTTAGACACACTGCACATTCCGTAGGCGAGACGTCATCACCGTTGACTCCAACCACGAATGTAGGGAGAGAAGCAATGACAACTTTATCGAGACCACGTTTGAGCGGTTGAGTGACGACGGTGAAAGAATGGCCTTGGAAGGTGGATCTACGGCGGCGGAGAACGAACCTTGTGTATAGATGATGAGCGAAGACGGTGAGGATGATAATAGAGAAAGCAACGATGGTGATGAGTAAAATCTTGCTGCTGCTATCGTAAGAAGCCGCGCTTGGCAAGAACCAACGGTCGGGATTGGGATTGATTAAGTGATCATTATATCTGTTGTCAGAGCTCATGATGTACCCTTGTTTGGTTCAATGAATACGAAAGAAATGTAACAACACAGAAGGTGGGGTAGCTATATGTTTTTTTTTTTTTTTTTTGTAGATTCAATAGATCTTACTTGTGTAATTAAATTATATTTAAGTAAACGTTTTGATGATTTTGTCACCTTCTTATTATATCTTTAATCTTAGAATATGATTTGGTGGGTGACGGAAATAGGCACTTCGACAGATAATATCAGTAATCCAAGGGCAGTTGTTGACTTTACTCGGATTTATTTAATTTAAACTTACATTTAAGTCTATGAAATTTAGTTAGGATTGTAATTGATACATAACACGTCTACAGTATATGAGAATTTTAATTAAAAGAATATTACATCTTCGCAATAGTATGACGACTGGATGTAAACTAGAGCATATTCAAGAATATACGAAAATTTACAAAGTTATAACTTGAGGTCTGAAGTGAGGTTCCGTATGGTTTAACTTCAAGAAGAGTCTTCGAAGTAGACAAATATGTTAAGTTATTACAATTGGTGAATTTATATTTAATTCAACTCTCTACTCTTTTTTAATTACTCACAAAATAAATCTCTACTCTTTTTTTTTCTTTTCATAAGTTAATTTTTTTTTTTGGTCGAATCATAAGTAACTTCTTTGTTCCTTCTAGGAAAAGGTCACCATATTTCAATGATTTTTTGGAACAAAAATCTTTAAATCATACTATATTATTGTTCTGATATTATTACGTAAAATCCATTGAAGATAATTGCCTTTTCAAACTGTTTTAGAACAAAACATATAAAGCGTAGTACACTATTTCCATACAGTTACGTAAAAGAGCATTGAAGATATATTTGTACTCCTCCAGGGAAAAGTTACGGCTTATGAGATACCAAATTCACCGGTCACGGATTAGGAAACTGTCCTAGTTTTTTTTGGTAAAAATGTAAAGATATTATTAATAGTCTTTCAAGATTTTTTGACAGAAATATAAAAACAACAAGAAGCAGAACAAAGAAAAATAAAAATTCTAAACAACAACTCGAACTAGTCTAGACTAATACATGGACAGACACAACAGGCAGAACCCACAAGCCGGAAGCCTGAACTAATCCGTACAACTGTTTGCCGCAAGAAAAAAAGAACCACAATTAAATCAAGAGTCAGAATCCGATAATTTTAACCTCTCCGATGATCTGCTCTTAAAGATTGGCTCGACCACAAACAACTCGAGGAAGACATCTTAAGGCCACAGCTTCCACATCAATAAAACCGACCATTTATTGGACGCAGAGCCCTGATGGAGCAACGCGACAAAGACCTGCACAGAAATTAGGTGAAAAATAGCTGCAACTCCCCCCTTAGCACTCCAGACTACCACAAACGATCCGGATGAACACACCCACAAGAAACACAAGTGAGTATTGCTGTCCTAGTTGAGTATTGCTGCGATGCATTTACCTTCTAGGAGTAAAAACAAATTCTTGATCGTCATGAATCATGATGTAAGTTGGAGATTTGCAACACCAGAACGAAACTATTAAGAAGTTTTTTTTTTTTTTTTTGAAACACAAACATTCATTACTCATGGTTATCAAAGAAGTAGTTTTTATTGTTTGAAGAACTTAGTGTTTAACCAAGAACTCTTGGCCTAGTGGTAATGGAACTCCAACTGGAGTGTCCGTTCTGGGTTTGAGTCGTCTTGGCCACCTTCCCGCCTATAATCATGCGTAACCAGAGGGAAGGTCTCGTGGGGTTTAGTCTGGGTTTACTGTCTGAAATTCCACATGATTATCAAAAAAATTTTTTTTTAAAAAAAACTTATTGTTTGGTTATGTAGTCCAATCTATTGAAGAAAAATATTTGCTAGGAATTCTAATTAGCCACATCGAACTTGATAGATGTAAAAGATTTTGACCATTTTTTTTAATTTTTCATTGAAACTTTAAAAGTATTTATAACAGTGAAGAGTTTATCATGGAATGTATGATCCAACGGTTAATATATATATTTGATGGGTGCAATTAACGGTAGATTTCCATGCAAGTAAGATCTTACGCGCGTTATTCAGTTTCCTTTTTTTTTGTTTTCATAGTACTCTTAAAATTTCCATTTTTCCTTCAATCGGCGCCAGATATATAACACGAAAGCACTTCACATATTCTTCAACAAATTCCAAATCCATCTTCCAATTAGGGTTTTTTCGGTTACAGTGAAGTAAAAATATTGCCGTCAATGGAGTTTATGAAGTCCTTAGGAAAAGGCTCGTATGGTTCCGTTGATCTCATGAGATTAACAAAACCTAACGGCTCGGAACCATGTTACCATGCCGTGAAAACCTCCTACGCTCACGACTACGAAACTCTCCGCAAAGAGTTTCGGATACTTTCCAAACTTAGAAACTGCCCTAGAATCGTGCAAACCCTAGGGTCATCTCTATCGAGAGGTGTTAATGATTATGGAGTCAGGGTTTACAAGATGTCGATGGAGTATGCAGCTGGTGGAAGTTTAGCTTCTTTCATGGAAACAAGAACATTGTCTGACTCGATGATCAGAGACTTCACGCTCATGATTCTTCAAGGACTTGTGTCTGTTCATAGTCAGGGTTACGTTCATTGTGATCTTAAACCGGAGAATCTGCTTGTGTTTCCACGTCATGAGTACGAGGGAGATGGTGTTGGTGGTGGCGTGAAGTCCACGTATCAGTTGAAGATAACTGATTTTGGTATGTCGACGAAAGCTGGAGAGGAGTCAGAGTTTTGGGAGTTTGATTCTCCGTTCTTGGGAACGCCTCTTTACATGTCGCCTGAATCTGTTCAGGAAGGCGTCGCGGAGAAGGCGTTGGATTTGTGGTCGTTAGGTTGTATTGTTCTTGAGATGTACACCGGAGAGCCGGCATGGCCGTTTGCTGATTCAGAGGATCTTACGCCTGAGTTGTTGAATGGGAACGCACCAGAGATTCCACAATCCCTTCCTTTTGACGCAAGGCAGTTTCTAGAGACGTGTTTGGCAAGGAAACCAGATGAGAGAGGAAGTGCTGAGGAGTTGTTGAAGCATCAGTTTCTTAGGAAAGTTTCTGATCAGAAGAAAGAGATGGTTACCGGTGCTGGAGGTAAGAGAGAATCGGTGGTTGTAATGAAGTCTAAGGATACAACAAAGAAGCCACTAAGAGTGAAGATAATTCCACCAAAGCCGTTGCAGTTTAAGAAAAGTGCTCATAGACCCTTGAGGTTGAAGATTATACCTCCAAAACCACCAGGATGCAGGCTCGTACCGGTTTAGTAGAGTGTGTCAGTATTAGTCTTTGAAAACGTGGTTGCTTGGTTGATGGTGTAGATCAATTTAATTAGATCAAGTTGTAAGGGCTCAATATAGCTTGCCAAAATGTAGGATACTAAATCATTGTCTAGTCTGATTGTTCTTTTTCAATGTTATCTGTTGAGTTTAAATTTTTAATTATGATGGTACATTCATGCGGTGTGTATTACAACAATTTCAAGTCAAGTAGTGCTTAAGCAGTTCCTCTTTTTTAACTCTCATTGCTGTGTATCCAAACCTATGAGAAATCTCAAATATGTATGAGTTTAATAGCTTTAAAACTAAACCATTGTATTGGGCACACGCATGACCACAGAAACAACCCCTTTGAGCTCTGTAAATCTTCGGCTTTCAATAGCTGTCTTATGTTGTCTTGAGCAAACCATTAATTCTACGTTGCGGTCACAAATAATAAAGTCACTTTGTGGTTTGCAAGTAAGTGGTGATCTTGAGTTTGTTGTGGAAACACAGCTGTCACAGAGTTCGTGTTCTGGCTGATAACCTGAGCAGATACATTTGCATAGACCATGATCATGCTCTAATTGAGAAGTTATGCAACTCTAATTGAGAAAAGAGCCTTAGAGCAATGATCTCAAGCAACTAATTAAACAACAACAACAACCAAATTTGCATTAATCACTTAGTTCATGCCATAACCTTATAAATAGCAATAAGACCATCACCATCTGTGACAAACTGCACATCCTTTATCTCATTTGCAAGAACTTTTCTATACGCATTGTACCAACAAACAAGAAACAATGTTACCATGCCTCCAAACACATTCTTAAAAATAAATCATAATCATTTGCATTCATTCAAGAAGAAACACAACACACAATTCAAACAGCCTAAGCAAAGGTTTACCAGAAAACTCCCATTTCAACATTACAAACTCCCATTCATCATTTCTTCTTCCCTTTGCCAGCACCTTTACTCTTCTTCGTAGGCAACACAATCTCTCCTTTCAAAACCGGAATCTCCATAATCTCCGACAACCCAGCAAACCTCTTACGGAACTTCTCAACTTGATCAGCATCAACCATCAAAGCAGACCTGTTACCGAGGTAAAACGGATGGTTACCGGACCAAACATCGACAACGTACTCTTTCTTAGTCCCTCCGGTCGTCATCACGAGCTCTCCGTTGCAGTAAACCTTGGCGTCCTCGTGAAACTCTGGGTGCAATTCCTTCTTCCTACACGTCACCTGAACCACCGAAGTGTTGCTTCTTACCGGTTTACTTCCTCGGTTCGCGTAAACCGATGCTGTCGCCTTAACCGGCTATTCGAAAAAAAAAAAAAAGTTTAGTGATTTTTTCGAGTAATAAGAGAAAAGTTTGGAGCTTTACCTTTCTAATTGCTAGAGAAGGAGCACATGGATTGATCTGGAGAAACGAGTTCGGAAGAGAAACCGCCATTTATCTCTTTTTTTTTTCTTTTACTTGTTAAGAAGCATCTAAACGATAGATAGCGAGAAGCCGAGGAGGGAGAATGATGAAGATTCGGTGAGTAATTTACCTTTCTAGCCCTGAAAACTAAGATGTTAATAACTTATAACCTCAAGCGGAAGCGTTAGTCTGAGGGTAAGAAAGTCATTTAGAGATGTACTCACTGTACTAACAACCACCAGTCCACTGGAAACCTTTCATTTACTCACAGAGACATCAAACCGAAGCTCGGTTCCAAAGCTATAGACTGTTTATCTGTACTTAATCTCGTCATAACTTCACTTTTCCGACCATTAAAGTGACTGACTTATTATGTCCGTCCAAATTAGAGTAAATTACTACAGAATGAGAAACAGTCAACTTTCCCAAAGTCAAACTTTGTGGCCTTTCTTATTGACTAGCCAGTGCTTCTTATTGGCTGTTTACCCTGTTTTTTAAGTATTTGATCTGGAGAACAGGTCCAACATTATTCCAAATCACACAGTTTTGAAGCTCAGATCTTCCAAAAGGAGGATCAGATGAGTTGGAGGAGAAAGAAGATGGGGAAAGTCACTGAACCACAAAGATTGTTTATGGAGAACGGAAGCATCTTACAAGAAGAGCTCATCAAATGTTGCAATGGTAAAACAAATCCCATTACAACTTATTCTGCTAACCAAATCCTTGAAGCCACAAAAAACTTCAACCAAAGTAATCTTGTTGGTAAAGATGATTGTGATTACCATTACTACCGAGGAACACTCGATGATGATCATCATAGACTAGTGGTTGTTAAGAAAAAAAAAGCATACGGAGGGAGTTCTGTAAGGAAGATTTGCAGAGACATCTCAGTTTCATCAATGGTGAGTGGTCACAAGAACTTCCTCAAGCTGTTGGGATGCTGTCTTGAATTCCCTTGTCCTGTCCTAGTATGTGAATATGCAGAGAGCATAACTGTGAATGCTCATCACCAAATCGATCCAACGCTGACATGGAATACGAGGTTAAAGATAGCAAGAGACATCTCTAACTCATTAGCCTACCTTCACACCGCATTTTCGACAACATTTATTCATAGGAATGTTCATCCTCGTAACGTATTCTTGGATGTGAAAGGAGTTGCAAAGCTTGGAGATTTTCGCAACTGCGTTACCATTCCACAAGGAGAATCCTTTGTACGAGAGTATAAACTAGAGGGAACGTACGGGTACTTGGATCCTATATATATGTCAAAGGGGATGATCACAGAGAATGTTGACGTGTACAGCTTTGGAGTGTTCATGTTAGTTCTCTTGAGCAGAAGAACTCCAGGTTTGGACGATGAACTACATCCAGATTTTCTGACTAGGCTTGTGGAAGATGGTAGATTCTCTGAGGTCTTAGATCCAGTTATGTTGGAAAACATAGGTGACTTTGCAGAAGGAGAGCTATGTCGGATGGAAGCTTTTTTCATACTTTCACTCAGATGCATTGGTCTTAGAGGGGAAGTTCCAGAGATGATGGAAGTGGCCAAGGAACTAAAGAGGATTGAGAGATCCTAGACCAACAAGTGTTAGGCATTTCTTAATATATTAACCCTCTTAAGTATCTTGTAGATTATACAATGGTCTTGAAAGAATTCAAGAACCAAAAAAAAGAAAAAGAAATTGTGATTCCTGTATAGGTCAAAGCTATTAGGTAAATAATCACTTTTGGAATTGGTAATTCATGTTTTTTTGGTTACTGGATAGGGCATGGTTCATAGTAACACACACACTAATTACACTTTTACTTGGGTTTCCAATTAATCACTCAACTAAACCCACACTTGTCGAAGAAGCTTGTATCTTTCATTTGTGGTTGCTGAATCAGTAACTTCGCTAGATTTGTCTACGATGGATGTAAGAGGAGAGTCCAGTTCCTCAAGCTCCTCGTCGCTTGTGTAGCCTCTTTTCTGTATCATAGACACATTCCTTGACATTTTCCCTGCAGACTCTGCTACTTTCTCTGCTACATCCTTGGTCGATGGAGGCGTGTAAGAAACTGAGGAAGCTGCATAAGGGAAGCTTTCTTCTGATAGCTTCCCATCACCATTACTCTGAAAACATAACAGAAAATAGATGTTCCAAATTTACTTTACTGATTATGAGAAGAAAGAGAATCCTAACTTTGAATCATTTGAATACCTCAGCAGAGTTGAGCTCTTCTAGGACAGCTCCTGGTACATGATCTGGACAGAACTCATCAGGAGTAAAGTTGCAGAGTATTCTTTTGATTACTGGTAGAGTGATTGACGGACATATCTGTTTATCAAAAGAAAAAAACTCGATGAAGCTTGTGAATGCTATAGGCTTAACCAAGTACAAAAGAATAACTAAGATTATATTATAACACAAACCTCTTCTCTGATGGAACTTTCCATAAGCATGTCTTTTGGTAGCATAAGAAGATCACTAAGTTCATTTAACAATACAAAGGCTTTACTACTATCACTGCCTTCACTTTCTACATGATCATCATCTTCGCTGTTCATTCCGAACATTTCAGTGAGGCATCTAGACCAGTTACCAATCTGCAATATGAAATATTTGTGTGCCATTGGATTAGTCAAGCATTATTCACTCTCTAAAGGCTATGGCAAAACTGAAACTCTGTTTTGTATTGGTTACCGCGTTTTTGAGTTGTGCTCCTGAACCAAAGCTTAAGTCTCCAGCATGGATAGGCAGAACTCTGGAATCAAGAATAGGGTCAGAGATAGGATCAGTTGGAATCTGGTGTTCTGACTCACGCAGAATAGCATTGAACATTGCTACATCGAATCTACCAATACACTTCTCCATCACCTGTTTAAAGACAATAAAGAACATGACGTCTTGTCAAAGAACATAAACAAATAGAAGTATCTTATTACCATTCTAGCCAAAACAGGTAAGCAACCACATTCGTTCCCTGAGCCTCTCACAGGACAAAGCCGTTGAAGAGCTTCTCTGAAAGCATTGTTCCATAAGCTAATAGAAAAGTTTCCTTGCTTCTCAGATGAGTTGCTTTCAGGGGATTGCATATGAGGAGTAAAGACCTTAAAGATATGAGAAACAAAAATGAGATGCTTCATAGACAAAACTTAGAATAAGCTCAATGTTTTAATACCTGCCACCAAACAGACTCAACGATTCTAGAAAAGATCCAGTGTTCGATTGTTTCAAGTGAAGTAGTAAATGTTTCAGTTTCTTGCCAATCCTCCAAAAGCTGTTGTAGACCTTTCTTACTCCCATTTGATTCAGTGGTCTCTGTGATGTGAGACTTACCAAACTGTTGTGAAATGATCTCCCTTAGAGATATGATGTTTGATAGCCAGAAGGTCAACCTAACAAGAAAAATGTGTTCAGAGAAAATCAAGATCCTAAAAAATGTCCAACTCACATGTTAGGTATAGTATTTTTTTTACCTTGAAACATCATTCCCACAAGATCTGGAAACCAAAACAAGACCAGTAACAGAGTTTCTAGCGATCCTAGCACGCTTTCCTCGAGTAAAATGCTTACATGCATGGATGTAGATTCTAGAAAGACGCCTTGCAGGCGTGTGAAGCTTGTGTGCTGAGCTAGAATGATCCGGAACAATAGAGTAAAGAGAAATCTCTAGTGCTGCAACTTCTCTAAGCTCCTCTTCAAGTCTCTCGATTCTTGCCTCGAGATGATCAATCTCCTCTTTGGAAGATACATCTTCTAAGTGTTCACCATTATTCTCTGTTACATCAGGGGAATCGTTCTCGCTTCCAGCACTAAGACCACCATTGGAAGCATCTTCCCAGACATCTTTAACTTCTTGTTCATCATCATCTTTCTCCAACCCATGAACGGATCCATTTACACTGTCCTCTTTCTCCTTTCTCTCCGTTACATCATCATCCAAGTAACGAACATCCACTGTCTCGTAAGCCTCAGATGGATCTGAGTGTGTGGTTGAATCAGTTGCTACTGTAGAGAGATTGTTCGAATCTTCCTCAGCGTTTAAGTCATTGTGTTTCTCTTGGTCTGACAGTCTTTTCTGGCTATTCTTCTTCTGCAGCTTCTGATCTTTTTTTCCATTCTTAGTAGATCGCTTTGACTGGACAGTGTTGGTTGTTCTCCCCTTCATCATGAAGCTCTTCCTATAAAGCCAAAACAATAGTTACTTTCAACTTCCAAGTAAGGCAACGGTCCAAGAAGATCTGTTTTACTCTACAGAGAAGAAAAAAGGAAAAAAAAGTCTTAAAAAGTGATGATCAAATTAATTAAAAACACAGCTGAATGTATTTCATGTTCTTGAAAATGACAGCACATACTGGAGGAAGAAAAGAAAATAATCAGATTTGCTATGTTTTGTCTTAAGTCTACAGTAGCATTTGAGGTCTCTTTCAGAAGTATCACCAGTAACAGAGAGAGAAACAGAGCATGAGACTTGAGAGTTCAACAACTAAGTAAAGATTGAGGGGAAAAGAAAAGAAGGCTTACCAGTGAAGAAACAGAGCAAAGTGTGTGTTTTACATTCAAGTCATGACTCTCTTCAAGACGTGTTACTTTGATCTACTACTCAAGAGTGAAGTCTACTCTCAGATTTACGTCACTGAGATTTGCTGTCTTTACCTGTACCCAATAATAATGCTACTTTCTCTCTCACATACACTATGGGAGATACGAGTGCGGGAAGTTATGGTTTCTTTCTTTAAATAAATAAAAACGTTGATCGTGTGCGATACGAACAGTGATCATTGTCGGGAAACCATGGAAGGTTGTGTCGGTGGCTCGACTGTTCACCGGAAATAGCCGGTCACATTACCCGAAATAGTGGCTATTCTTTTTAAATGACCAAAGAAGAGTCACTTTCCGCTTTCGTCCAAAACGTATCTCACTGACTCCACCGACACCGACATCAAATTATAGATACTACAACTGTTCATATTTTTCATGAATGGGTGCAATTTACAAAAGAACATCTGCATGTACCGAGGAAAATGGATAAGAGGACAGAGGTTTTTCACATGGCTTTACACAGTCGGGAGAAAAACACACAACAGTAGCCCTCTGCGACCACAAACAGCAAACAACAATGAAGAATGCTTGCAAGAGTGTACTTGAGTTCGTTTAATCATTAACCAGAGGATGAGATGCATTAAACTACTCTACATTTAAAGAGGGTACCGACACTTTAAGGAAACTATTCACAAGATTTGGGAAACTACTTGAAATAGCAGTGTATTCAATAGAAGGTCCATCAACAAGAGAACCTGGGGAGATAGAGACGTAGCCTGTCATATTTTCTAAACCTTATCTACCCAAAACCAAGTGAAGTTCTTCCCCTCAATTCCAAACTGTGACTTATTCAAGTAATTAACCAAGCTCCTTGATAGTTACCAAAAAAAAAATGAAAACAACTATTTACAAAGATCAGAATCCAACAATTCACACGCTACTCTCAGCTCAGTATTTGCAAAAACGCTCACAACTCAATATACGCACACATCCTAATAAAATACTATTAGCCATATCTGAATTGTTCAAACATTCAGTACTGAAGATACTGAAATCTAGTGTTCTGAATCTAACTGACAAAGGCTAATGCCATGAGAACTCTACTCCTAACTGTTAATAATTACTCAGCACCCAACCGTGACGCAATGAACAAAAACCGAGAAAAGAAGAAACTGAATTTTCGTGTTTGTGCAGCATTAAACAACGGCTGATGCCATGAGAACTCCAACAACACTAAAGAGCATAACAAACTCAAATGCGAACACTGCACAAAGCTATAGTTCCCAAAACGAAAAATCAACACTAATGAGCATGTTTTGAATCATGTAAAAGCCTAACCAATACCAAAACTAAACAAACTCAATATGTACGCTGCACAAAGATATAACCATATACACCACATATTGAAAACTAACGAGCCTGCTTAAAACATGCCACGTCTACAAAACAGAGCAACACTCCATCTCCTAGTTACTATCAGCCCCTGACTACAACAACGAATGACAAGCAGATAAATTTCTCTTATGAACTTCATCACCAACCAATGGCATAAAAGACAGAAACTTTCTTTATCAATAAGCAAAAAAAAAACGAGTAAATCAAAATGTATCAAAAACAAGCAAATCAAAAAGTAATCAACTTTGCGTCAAAACAGTTAAAAAAAGAACACTTATTTCATCATTATCGACAATAACAAAAAAAACTCTTCAATCAGAAGAATCCCCAACGGACGCGAGCCTCTCGATCTCGAGACGTTCCAGAGCCTTCTGATGAGCCCAAGTCTCGATCGAAAGATCAGGCTTCGCATTGAGCCCCACGCCGAGGATGACGATCGTGAGGAAGCTCGTGATGTAGCAAGGAAGCTCCCAATCTTCCCATTTGCGGGATTGTCCCGGCGGAGGAGGAGTACGGTTCATGAAGTAGCCTTTGGGCTTTTCCTCGTGGCCTGGTGTGGCCCAGCGACTAGGCCCGGCGGATGTGGATCCGGACCTGGAGAAGATCCGGTTACGTAGCGCCTTCGCTGCGACGGTCAATGACTGCGTCGACGACGGCATCGCTTCGGTTTCTGGTGTTAGGGGAAAGAGACGAAATGGGAATCTACAGATTTGTGAAATATATACCAAACCATGACCTACAAATTGGTTTACTTTACTTTACTCGATACCTGGTTTGGTTTATCTGTATTGGCGGTTTAATTACCCAGCTCGGTTTATTGTTTGAATTTGATTTTTTTGGTTTAACAGATTTAGAAACCAAATTGATACCTCTAATTTTTTTTCTTTTTTTTTGACAATTGATACCTCTAATCTATGGTAAATTATCTAACAATTATAAATGTATAGTTTTGAAAAAAGGTTTACTGATTCATTATTTTGTTAATTCTCAATTTGCTTATGGTTTAATTTGAAATAATTGTAGTGCAAACTCGGTTCTTTCAGTCCGCTATTATTTCGTTAAACCAAAATGAATCGGTCACCTAGTCCGTTAAGCATTATTATTGGATGATATTCGACCACGAAGTCGTATTGCACAGTACTAACAGTCATTTTTCTCTCTGAATTATACATATGCAATGCCATGGTAAGTTTTCTACCTCTAATTCAACAATTGAAACCTCAGGAGATATCTCCCTCTCTCTCTTGTATATACACAAGACAAGCATTTTCAACTAGTTTGGAACTTATAGCTCCATTTTAACCTGATTTGGGTGCAAAGTACCTGAACCCATCAAGAAATGGGCTTGATGATGATCCTCTTCTCTTCCCCATTCCGGCTGGTGGTAACCATCAAGAGGCCACTGTTGCATCTGATGATAAGCCTCTCCGTTGAAGCTACCATCCATTAGAGAACCGTTCTGCACAGAGAGAGAGAGACAGAGACAGAGGCTTAGACCTCATCATTAACCAAAAACTTTAAACTTCTGTTAGATATGATTTTATTATCAACATCCAAGACTTCTTCCTAGTCATCTACTCAAACATTATCTCAATAGACCAAGATTTGTAAATGGGTAGGACCTGGTTATTAAATGGTTTACAAGCTGTAAAAGGAGGTCATTTAATAAGAAGTTATTTGCAGAGAAACAAAATCTGATTATTAGATTTGATAGGTGAAACTTGAAGCAACAAGAACTTAAAGAGTTAAGACTCAGACCAACAAAAATAATAATTGTGCAGAAGGATAACAAAAAAAAAAAGACAACAGAACAGGAGGTGGTCCGTGTTTCTGACCCATCTCTGTGTGATATTATTGGAGAGGACTAGTGAGTCCTTTCAAAAGGTTTTTGTTTCTGAGTCATTGCGTTAACAATAGGCTCTGTGTCTAGTGTACTGGATGTGTATTTATTTCCCCACGTTGATCTACTTCTAAGCCTAGTCTATAATAGACTCGATTAATGTTGTATCCAATAAATACACCAGAAGTTTCTCTTTTTGTGATACAGCTAAAAAGGTTACTCAAAGATAGATAGGTCCCTATGGTTTACTTAAACGAGAAACATGGTCAACGAGAGAAATCTTAAATTTTGTAGAAGAAGAATCACATGGAACTTAAAGTCTTGTATGCAATTAGATACTTACTTGTGAAGCCAATATGCTGTCGAGGTTGAAGTCGATTCTGGGGTTTACTGCAGCAAGTCTCATAGATAGCATCTGAAAAATAAGAAAGAACATAGGTTATGTGCACAAATTTTACTTGCAGACTATTTTAGCTTTATGGTTTTATTAAGTTAAAACAGAAACAAAGTCCCACCTCTACTTGATTCTGTAAAGTCTGCACATGGTTAATGATTTCATCCAGCACCAATGCAGTGCCCTGAATCTGCAGGTCAAAGCTCATTTTCTGTTAAGTCAGAACATAAAAATGACTCATAGCCCTAACTAGCATGTAACATTTGCCATAAAGGCTAACCAGAACAACGCCTCTAGTTCATACACAAACAGTCAAATCCCAAAACCTCACAAAATTTACAAACTCTTTTAAAGAGTTGTCACTTATCATCATCTCCCTCCACCAATAATGGCTGCTAGACTCCAAGATGTTATCTATATCGATTAGTTAGCTGTCTGCAGGAGTGTCACATCATGCTTCCAACAAATTAGGTATAGTGGGACTCAAAACACATAAACCAATATTAGTGACTATACCACACTCCTCTCTCTCTACTCGATAGATACCAAACTTATTAGAGACGACACTACACTACTCACCCTCCTGCAACTTTTTCTACTTAATATCAGAAGATGGACCCCAAAACACACACTCTGATCTCCATCTATCCACCAGAACTATGTCCCCCTCTACCAAAAATCTTAAGGTCACAATCCAGCTAGCATTCACACATACTAAACCCATTATCTTCATTAATAGAGTAAGCTTCAAGCTCAATGGATAAACTTTAAGATAAGGAAAATAAAAGTCTAATAACTGATTAAAGGTCTTGATAATCTAGGGACAAACCTTGTCACAGCCTGGGACCAGTTCTTGTAGCAGCTTCATTCTTGCGTTTATCTTCTCCCTTCTCGCCTATAATCAAAGAGTTAATCACAAGTTAGAGTAGTTTAATACGAAGACCAAGATGTGTATAGACTTACTCGCTCAGCTAAGCTATGGTTATTAGTAGCTTGACCACGACGAGCTCTAACGTGAACATACGGAAGCTTCTCTGATTCTTCTTCAGAGCTTTTGTTCTTCTTCGTCGAGCTTTTGACCTAGAAGTTAAAAAGGATAAAATGTATTAGTGACTTGTGTAACAAGCTAACGAGAAATTAAGAGATTTGATTTGATTATCTGAAAAAAATCACCTTTTTCCCACGTGTTTTCCTCTTGTTATGATTCTGATTCTCCACCGTTGGATAAGAATCATCAGGCTCTGACTTGACTCTCTCGCTGAAGCTCGAAGGTACGGACTCGCCGTCGCCGGAGAAGTTCCCGTTTTGCTCTGCAGCGATCGCCGGCGGAAAATTCAGTGAACCGTAGAGGTGGAGAGTGGGAGGAGAGATATCTCCGGCGATTCTGGGAACGGTGGCCGGAGAAGACGAAGTGAAAAGCTCCATGGCCTGAGTCGCCGGCATCTCAAGCAAAGCCGTGAAGGAACCGGTGTTCTCCGGCGGCATCGTCACGAGTTGCTGAATTTCGTCGCTGAAATTGAGCGATTCGAGTCCGGTCACCGCGTCTCGGTACGGCCCAGCGCCAGAGCTAACTCCGAACAGTTGGTTTAGATGGTTCATAAGAGGAAAATTCACGCGTAAACCGGAATTAACCGAGATTAATTTCAGGAAAAAAAAACAGAACCGACCGAACTTTATTTAACTCGCTCTGTTTTAAACCGGTTAGAGCTTCAAAATCGTTCGGCTGAAATCTCTCTCTCTTGTTTCTCGGAGAAAGTGTTTTTCTTCGTTAGAGTATGTCTCTGTGTGTTCTGAGAGTAAAAAAAAAAAGTTTACTTCAGAGCTATTTGGAGTGAAGAAAAAGCAATGTTCGCTTTGGAGTGCGTCTGTTAGTTAATAAAGCCAACAAAAATTTAGAGAGGGAAAGCTTGAGGATGAGAGAGAGATGCTTTGGACCCCAATGTTTATGAGTTGGGCCTAAAGGCCTGGTTCTGTAGTCCTTTTAAATTTAAAAATCAAAATGATTGTGAATGGAACCTTTAGGCATGGTGCTATATAGTTTTGAAACAGTGGCTGTGTCATAATTTAGTTTTTTTTTTGAAACCTCACTTATCTTCCAAAGAGACAATAATTAAAGCCATGAGTTTTTTAATGAAAGCTAGGATATGGAGCTATATTCATCTCACCATTACAAAGAAAATTGCTGCAAAGTAATTGATATTACTAGAGAGACTATGACATGGAGAGATGATTGGAGTCCTATTTAGTTGCTTAGCATACATAAGACAATTTGGTTTGTTTCAGCTTAAAAAAAAATATTCAGACATGACACTGTTTGTGTCTTTCTTATCCTTTTTTTCTCTTTGCTTTCCTTAGTCCTATATACACAAACCTTGTTGTGCGTTATATCTTCATACACTTGCAGTTTGCTCTTTGCTCGTTTAAAATCTGTGTAAACCAACAGAAAACAAAAGTTTCAATCACAAACTGGTCCTTTAGTTTGTTTGTTTCACAATGATCAGTAGGTTACCTTATACTGTCTTTGTAAATTTTTGATGTAATCCACAGCTAAATCCAACATATCTGAAGTGTTCGTTTGCTATTAATACCAAAAAAAAAAGATTAATACCATTTCAATGCAAGAGAACAATTACAATAAGTGTGAGGACTAGTGTACCTTGTCCATGTTAGGAACAAGCTCTTGTAGTTTCCTCATTCGTTCGCTTATCTTCGTTCTTCTTACCTGACAGGTGACATTAGAATTTGTTTCAATTAGCCATTAGACTTTGTAGATTCAAAAACTAGTTTTATATAGCAAGAAGCATTGTTGTAATTACCCGTTCAGCGATGCTTCGAGGATGTGTAGCGCAGCCACGTTTGGCTCTAACTTTACAAGGAACAGAGTCTTGTAGCTGCATATACTTATCTACTGAAACCATGTCTGAGGCTGTAGATGATGATGACTTCGGTAGACTCAAGTGATGCGACATTAACTGCATCTCTCCGTTCTGTTATAGAAATATCGACATGTTTGTAATGTCTAATACCCCCAAGAACCAAAGTAAACCGGTTTGGTAGCACTAAACCAGGAGGAGAACAGAGTACATAGTTACCTGAGCTCCGTGAAACAAATTACCGTCGTCCTCTGTTTCTCTTTTGAGAGAGGATAAGTTATCAATGAAGCTAGAGGGATCATTCCAATGACTATACTGAACACTCTCCAAGTCGATCTCAGGTATCTGAGAGAGCATTCCCAAAGGAGAAGGTGCCCTTGAAGAGAGACTGTTATGGCGTTTTAATCCCTTGGAATGAGATGGACTCTCTTCGTCTTCTTCTTCACCAACATAACTCCTCATCGAACCATAGCCTGCGATTGTAAATATAGTCGAGTCCATTAAAAGGAGTTAACTTTGGATCCAAAGTGCCAAACTTTGTTGTTTCTACGCCTAAGAGCAAAAACGGTACCGTTTTGATTGGAGAGGTTTGTGAACATCCCGGCAGGGGAGCTGCTTTGCCGGAGAAGACTTGATTCAACTGGTCCCGTGTGATGATTATTCATACCAAGATACTGATCCAAACCAATCGTGTTAATCATCCCCTTACTCTGTCTTGGGTAATGCGGCGGCAAACCCAGAAAGCTCGACGGCTCTGTCTGCGGCGGCGGAAGAGTGGCGGCGGCGTATGAAACAGAGGTGTTCGTCAAGGAAACATGAGACTTAACGGAGTCGAATCCGTTCTTGTCGTCGTTGTCGTCTACGAAAGCGGCGAGAACAGAGCTGGGCGCAGATCGAAAGCGAAGAAGACCCGACCCGGAAGAAGATATGTGATTCGGGTCGTAAAGATGGTTATGAGTATTTGAATCCATGAAAGAACCCAACTTTTGCGACGAGCTTTGCTTTGCTTTCCCTGTCTCTCACCCGTCGCTATAATGCTCTGTTTTCGTAGCGTTTCAGTAAGAACAGAGTTGGGGACACATCACCTTCAGCGTCAAGTGTTTCTATGGATTTCCTATTGTAAAAGTTTGTTTGTTTTTCCCCTGTGATGGGTTTTTGTTGTGTCACTTTCTCGAGAGACAGCTTGAGATGTAAGCAGGGGATAAGAGCTTGTGGATGAAGGAAAAAAGGTGAAGAAGAAACAGAGAGAAGGAAGAAGAACGGTGGGTGAACAGAGAAGGGAGAGAGATATGGTGATGGTGAAAAATTTAACGACTTTTTGCTTGTGAGTTTCCTCTGCGCCCAACTTTAATGGCTGAGGATAGCGGCGGATCCAAAAGCATAACTAAAAATTAAATGAAAATTTAAATGAAAAGAAAAGTAGAGAGGAAGACGTCGTTTTGAGCCGCCTGTGACGCTGAGTCATGGATAAATGCCTTTACATTTCTTTAAATACTTTTTTTTTTTTGCGGATTTATGACAATATATATCTTTGAATACTTTTTTATATATAACAAAAAAAATTATAAAATGTATTCATATGAGTGTGGAAATATTTACTTTTGATACAAGAGTATAGGAAAAAAACATTGTAAATACCTGCTGCTTGATCAAGTTTATCGAGATTTTAATTTATATATTGTTGGACCCGTGACAAACGATTTTCTGCTTCCCTACAAATATTCATGATAATTCTTATGATATATCATTATCATACTATTTATTGTATTTTACTTTGTCATCTACCAAATTTTATTCAAACAAATATATGTATATAGCATACAGAAACTATTGTAAATAAAAACTTTAACATTTTCGAATAGAGGGTTGAAAACAAAATAGTCCCTATCCAGGAACCCCAAACAAAAAAACAATGTTCATAGACTATTTTTGGTAACCAGGCTTAATAATCATAGACTTCAAAAGTCAACAGTTGTGACAAATGACAACTCAAATTTTATTTTCGCGTTGAATAACATTTTTAAGATTGTCGTCTATTATTTTTGTCCCATCAGAGTATATGGAAATTAGATCTTCACAAAACATCCTATAAATAGAAAGACAATTTTGTCGGAAGTACAGTTCATAAATAAGAGTAGAAATGCAAGTAATAAAGCTTCTCGAATCCGATTTAGGGTTCACGGATAACCTACACGATCGTGATGAAAGAGACGTTGTTGCTTTTTAACAACATAGGGAACGCAACTTGGCGTCTAACGAGATTAGTGGAGCACTATGATAATACAGTTCTGTCACTATACGTGTGAACGATGCACCGGATTGCGCCTTGTACCTTATTTAACTTTAAATAATTCACGAGCGCCGTCTTTCTAAAATTGAAATTTAAAGGAGTGATCCGTTTCTCCTACCAAATTGCAGAATTGATTACTAGATAGTTGTTACGTTTTCGCATTCGTAATTCTTGTTTAGTGAACCATACCATCGTTTATCATATTGTTTTGGCTGTATGTGTATTCTCTGTGGAGTTGGTATTTCGTTCTTTTTATATGGGGACTACGGTTCATGCGCCTACTATATATAGACATATAAATCGTTGAGTTGGAGTAGATGCACAGTTTTTAAATCTCGAGCTGCTTCTTAGTTAATCAACAAGAAGACAAATGTGTATGCACATGCACATATGCACCTATATTTACACACTACTATTCAATCATAATATAACATGAAAAATCCCCCTAGTATATATAATTAGTATTGTACAAACTATCAGTCTATAACTACTTGAATATTTTTGATTTTACATTCCAATGCGTAGAAGCGAAGATCACATATATTTATGTGAATCTTTTGATTTTACATTCCAATGCGTAGAAGCGAAGATGACATATATTTATGTGAATCATTTTTCTTGTTTTTTTGGTCCAAATATTTATGTGAACCCATACGCAACAAACTTACTTCATCCAAATCGAACTTGTAAATTGCAATCTAGCATCTCTTTTATAAATCAACGCGCCCATTTACCTGTACTTCTGAAAAAGATTATAGTCTTTTGGTTCGAAAGTTGGTCCTCATTTTCTGCAAAGAACATCAATAACCTTGACTCTTCGTTCATTGCAAAACTTAGCTACATTAAATTCCAACGGATACGAGAAAACAAAAACATTATAAAAGAAAATGGTAAGCAAAAAGGAGAAACTACAAAAGCAAAGCTCGTCTGTGGATGTGAACATGGACACGTGAGGGACCCCAAGCTTTCTCTATGTTGTATAGATATTTTAATTTTATTTATTTGCAGTTTTGTATTTGATTTTAATAATAATAAAACGATTCTCCATCAATTCATTTTAAATATTTATGTTCTGAAAAAATATATTAAATTTGATAGAAGTGGGGAATCGTGGTCCAGCTTTGGCTTTTATAATGTCAACAACTTAAAAAAGGGTGCCTCTCTATTTTATTTTCTTTAATAGGAACTTCTATATTAAGCAAGTGTTTCTCTCTTTTTAAATTCAACTTTCTCGAGTGGGCTGCTATATTTGGAAGTAATCAATCGTGTTTGGGGCGAGATATGTTTTGCCATGAAGATCCCTCCCTGTTTTATTTTGTGTTCTCGTTTCTTATAATAAAATAAAAAGTATAACCTACTTTTTTTGTGTGAATTTGAACAAAGGAGAGAGGAGGACCAACGGTGGGATGCGATCATGCTTTATGATCTGACAAAAATAATATTCGAAATAAATCGACATTTCATTTTTGATAAATATGTATGTGAAACTCCATGCGCAGAGAGGCAATCAAGCACTTGAGTTTTTGATCATTCTTCTATTAACTATTTTTTTCTTTATAAAGAGAAAGCTTGGTATGGATTAGCTCAGTCCCACTAAAAAGCATCAAACAAAATTTTGTTCGATAATCATTCATCTTTTCTCAAAATATTATATGCATCTAAAAAAACGAATCTCAGTTTCGACCAATGAAAGATATGTATAATAAATAAAACCACTTGGCTAAACATCTTGCCGGAGCTGAGAGTCTTGTCGCATATGTGTGGTCTATATATCCTTTGCATTTTGGTGGATTGTGAGTGATCTGCAAGTTTGAGATAACCCTAAACGGGACGTGTGAGACCGAAGCCTGAAACGTGAGGAAGCAAAACTTGATTTTTAGGTTGCCGTGTAGATACTTTCTCGAACTATATTCATGTATTTACATTCAAACCCCGCGCGGTCCCCTTGTGCTATACGTATCCTCTCAGCCCAGAGAACTATTTTTGGTCGGAAATATAATTGCAAAGGGTACAAAAGATTTAAAAAGTGTTTGTGCTTGATTGATATACAGATACAGTAGATTACCAAGCTTAATATAATGCAATGGTTGTTGAGTTATGGGCTTTAGGCAAAAAATGTCTGATAAAAAAAAAAGTACTTTAACCCAAATATTGTGGGGCTTTGTCACGCACATTTACGCCAAAATCTTTTGTATACATAATAATTGGGCCAAAGCCCGGTCAAAATTTCATATCAGCTTCGGAAGGATTAAATAGTAATTCATCAAAGAATCAACGAAATGCGTTAGGAGGATGAAAATTTTGACGAAATTGAGTTATCCCGCTTCCGGTGAAAATTCGAAAAATTTCACACAGATTTGAACTCTATTGACACGTGCGAGTGCGAACTTGAAAAATTTTCATTTTCAATTATAAAACCCGCCCAAGATGATAGCCTAAAAGAATCGCCAGATCGTCTCTCCTCTCTCTCTCACACACTCAGAAAAAAAAAAAAAGCTTTTCTCCCCCCCCCTTTATTCCTTTTGTCCCCTCGCTTTACCGTTCGCAAGGCGTTTTCGAGCTGTGTCACTGAGGAATCTAAATCGAAAAGAATATTCATAGGTAAAATCAATCAAATCTGTACGAAAGATCCTTCTCTGATATTTGAAATGATTCGATTTACTTAGAGAGTTATTAGGTTCGTCGTTTAATCCTCTCTCCCTATTCGATTTTTCAGCGATTAACAACAATGCCAGAGGCAAGAGACAGAAGAGAGAGACCTATCGATTACCCCGCCGTGTTTCTCAGCAGACGATCCAATGGGATATTACTCGACGAGGCGGAATCACACCTCAATCCGGTTCAGAACTCTGGCTTAACCGGTCAAGGATCTACGATGGGGAGAGGAGGGCTTGCGAGAGGAAATTTGGGAGTTCGGAGGACTGGGAGAGGCTTGGGTGTTGCGAGACGTGGCAGGACACGTGGTTCAGCTTCTGTGTTACCTTCTTGGTATCCAAGAACGCCTCTCCGTGACGTATCTTCCGTCGTTAGGGTTAGCTGATTTTTTGTATTTAACAAGAGGTTTGCATAAGAGCATAATTAACCCGAGGTTCTTAAGGCGGTATTCTTAGCATTTTTAGTTAAAAGTTAATAAACAGTTTTTTAGTTTACTCTAAAAATCTCGCCTTAAGAACCTCGGTTTAATCATGGTCTAACTATATCATTAATTTAATTTAACTATTTATTGATTTTTTATTTTTGATGTAGGCAATTGAGAGAAGGAGAGCTCGTATGGGAGATGTTGAGACTCCAACACCACAACAGCTTGGGGTTATTGATGATTTGCCACTGCTAGGTGTTCAGCTTGAGCATAACTACTCTATGGTCACTCCTGGTCCATCTGTTGGGTTCAAGCGTCCCTGGCCGCCAACAACTGCTAAAGTGCATCAGATGCTGCTGAAAATCACGAGAGAGGATTCAGGGGAAGAGGAGGAAGAGGCATTGACTCCACAGAAGAAGCTTTTAAACTCTATTGATAAAGTGGAGAAGGTTGTGATGGAAGAGATTCAGAAGATGAAGAGCACTCCTAGTGCTAAGAGAGCTGAAAGGGAGAAAAGGGTTAGGACTTTGATGTCCATGCGATGATGGGGTCATTAGAAGGTGACCATAGTGAGTACATCATCTTCTGATGATAGCAAAGAGGGAGAAGTGGATCATTATCTGATGATGTTACTAGGAAGGGGTCGCCAATCATCTCTCTGATGATGTTATAGTAGGAAGATTCTATCATTTTTCTGATGATAAAACTATAGATTCATCTTTCTTTAGATAGTTTTTGGTGTTAGGATAGCTCACGGATCATTTTCTGAGAACCTTTTCTTTAGGCTTTGTGTTTTCTACATATGATGGATGTCTTCTTGCTTTAAACAGATTGTACAGAAGTTATCGAACTTCGGTTTTTGTAATTGTCACAGTCTGGTAAATGTCAAGATCCTATAAATGATGCGAAGTCAACTGCCTGTTTAATGGGCCGCAAAGGCCCATTTGTGATTGGCTCTTAAATGAAAGTGTAGTATAGTGGCATGTGACTGCACGCACTGTAACACTAACAGATCTACTTTCTCAATGATACGAAGTCAACTGTTGTTTAATGGGCCAGAAAAGGCCCATTTGTGATTGGCTCTTAAGTGAGGGTGTAGGTTAGTGGAATGTGACTGCCCGCACTGTAACATTAACTAACTCTTCTTCCTCGATGACATTTTATTTTTTCGTTCAAAGATCTGCAACTCATCTCTCTCGAGTTTGATAGCCATTATGACGGAAGAAGCTACCAACCAATCATCACCACCTGATCCAGACCCGATCCAAACTCCGAATCCGTTAATCCACCCGAGGCGTGCACCATTCGAACACGGCCTCCTCCCAATCCAGAACCTCGTCTTCACCGACCCGATCCAAACCTTAACTCCGATCAAGCAGAAGCTAAATGCTTCCGCGACGAACAACCGCGTCGGATCCTCTGCAATCGCCGAGACACTCGTGATCTCCTCTGACCATGCGCGCCTCGTCCTCGAAACTCTCGCCTGCGTGCTACATTCCGAGACTGATCCTCTCGTAAGGGCTAAGACTGAGGAGGAAGTCGATTCGGTTGGAGCTGATGTGAGGGATCTGGTTTTGTTTCTGTACGTTCAGTCGTATAAGAAGTTGATGCCTAGGACGCATAAGGACTCTGCCGCTGTGGCTGATGTCTGGCCTTCGGCTTCTGCTTTCGATGGTTACTTGTCTTTATCGCCCATTCAGGCATGTTCTTTTACGTTTTAAGATTGTCTTAATCATGTAATGTCGGCAGAAATGATTTTTTTTTTTTTTTTTTCTGTGATTGATCTTAGTGCGTGCGATTATTGAGTTCTACTATAGTTTTGCAATGCAAGTTAAGAAGTTTAGCGACGATAGAATTAAGCAATGTTGAGGAACTTCATTGAGTCGAGTAGTTTTTGGGTATAAGTGTTTGTAACAATTTTTCATGTGGAGAAGAGATGCTCGTTGATGTATTTGCTTTTTTTTTTTTGACAGTATAGAGGATTTAAGTGTGAGTGTCTTGTCTCTTGCTCTCGGTGTATGAAACACACAGCATCACATGTGTTAATTATTACGGAGTTATGAAGTATGCGTTCGAAATAGTGTGTTTTGCTAGCCTTTTGTTTTCGACACCTGTTCCTTTCAGAGTTTGATCTTCTTCTTTGATAAATATGAACTCTGGAGCAGTGTTTAAGTTCACGGATTGAAGTCAAGATAACTGCTACTTTGCTCTGTTTTGTGTGGGTTTGACTCTGTTTCTTTTCATAGTTCCTTATTTTGGTTGGTCCTTCCATGTTTCCTTTATGGTGATAATGTGGGGTGCGTTCTGGTACCTTTTGGCTCAGTCTATAGTTGGGCAATAGTTTCTGAGCTTTGAATTATTTTACAGATTAATTGTTCTTGTTACTGTTTCAATCATATGGGTCTACACAAGCTTGTTTCTATTGAAATCTGAGTTGGATTTCATGTTCTTCATCTTGCAGCTTGTTCGTAGCAACAGCCGTCGGTTTATGCCATCACCAGCAGATGAAGAAGCTCATCAGTTGTCGTATTTGCAAAAGCACTTAGCAAATATGATTTCTCTCCTTGCAGATCCTGTTGAGGGAGAAAAAGATGAATCTTCGGTATGTGCAAACATTTTTTTTTTTACTGATTCTGGAAGGAGCTACTGTTTCTATTAGATGGATGTAAAATTCTATGTTGGCATACAAATATTTATAGTTATTTACTAATAACTTAACTGTTGTTATTTATTGTGATTACCCAAATCTCCTCCTTAGGTCCTGTCTTTGGAGAGTTTTGAGCACATTGGGTTTCTTCTTCATTTTGGTGATACTTCTTTGAGTCAAGCTACTCCTTTCTTTAACAACTCTAACCCTGATATTCCCGCTGTTCCCGTTCCTGCTTCCCTAGTCCATGACTGGCTTCTGAAAAACATAGCTTCCGCCTTGGAAAACATTTCTGACAGAATGTCAGGGAAAGAAAATGGACCATCTAACGCTTCTGGTCAAGATGCTGCTAACGCAGATGCTTGTGATAAAGTTTCAACTGACGATAGAGGTCGTTGTATTATCGAGGGAGTCTCCAAGACTTCACTTTTCAAGCAGGCATCCGATCTTAAGGGGAGATCTGTGAAGGTCCGTATGTAGAACTAATTTGCATTTTAATCGGCATTTCTTCACTTCAACTTCAAAATATATGCACTTCAACTTCATGTTCTTTTTTATTCTTCAGGTGGCAAATTGCCATGATTCTGTCATTTATCTTTTGGCGCCATTAAGATATGCAACTGTGTATGGTTGTTCGGATTCTACTATCGTTCTGGGAGCTGCTGGCAAGGTATGACTAATATACTCCTTGCTTTACTTTTTGTTAGCGAGTTTCGGGTTAGAAGATGCAGTGAGTCTAGTTTATTTTCTGTGCGTGTGCAGGCAGTAAGAGTTGAGCATTGTGAGAGAGTTCATGTGATTGCAGCTACGAAGCGAATCTGCATCGCCAATTGCCGAGAATGTGTATTCTATTTGGGAGTCAACCAGCGACCTATTATTGTCGGTGACAACCACAAACTACAGGTGAAGCATCTCTTTAAGATTAAGGGTTTTATTTCCAAATTTGATATCAGTCTGCTTACGAAACTCTTCTTTCCGGCTCTGATATTCAGCTGAAATTAGTAACGAGACCACAGCTTTTAAAAGCTTTAGTTAGGTTATATAGCTTTTCTGTGTAGAAAGCCTGTTAGACTCATGATCATTTTAATTGTTCATTGTCTTTGGAAACGTGAACATGCTGTTAGACTCATTTATTTAGCGCAAAAATCTTCTGATATGTTGTCTATATAATTGATGGCATCAATTTGATGTTGATCTGTTCTAGGTGGCTCCGTATAATACGTTTTACTCACACTTGGAGGAACACATGACCGAGGTAGGTATTGCGCCAACTATCAACAGATGGAATGAATCCTTGGCACTTGGAGCAGTTGATCCGCATGACTCACTGTCACATCCTACTGGTGCCTCTGATAAACAAACTGAATCGGTTTCTTGTGTGGACCCTAACCAGTTCACTAACTTTTTGGTAAGATTCCCCTTTGTGTTAATCTACTTTTCTTGTAATAACTAGTGATGTTGGTTACCACCAAGATTGTGATCGCATTGTAACTTCTCACGTCAATGTCTCTGGTTCAGATCCCAAACTGGTTTGCTGGCGAGGTGCTTGGTTCTACGAAAGAGAATCCATTTCCATTACCAGCTGCGTATTTGGCAGTACAACAGACAGGCGTATGTTTTATGATTTTTGTAACAGAAGTTCTCTGTTTGTTTTTTTTGTCTTCCATATCACTACAACATCTGATACCGAAACTGCCATATTTGTTTGACCAGCTTAAGAAGTTGGAAGAAACAAGACAATCCTTAAGAGAAACACCTCTTGAAGCAAACCGTAAACGAGAACTTACTACTGCCTTCCACATGCAGTTCAAAGACTGGCTTTACGGTAAATACATCCAATCCCCCAAATTCATTCACTCCGTTTGACTTATTTGATATTTACCCTGTTTTCATTTTGATTACAGCATCGGGAAACATCCGGCAACTTTACTGCTTGCAAGGTGATTAACGATCAATGGTGGTGATGGAAGATGTCTCAGGTCACTATAGAGTTCTTTTGATCATTTCCTCTTCAAAGATTGCTAGCTCGTATGGCATCAGAAGTTAACTGCACAGCAAGTTCTCTAACTCCTAAAGATCTCCCTTCTCTTTTTGTTTCTTTGATCATATTCGTTTGTCTTTTACTTCTTGGAAAACATAATGCAATCGTGTCTATTTATATGTTATTTTCATTCAACTGTTATACACAGATAACAAGTTTGAGTACCTCCTTGAATTTCAAATATATTTTAAGCTTCATTTTCATTTATTTCCTTCAGCATCTACACATCCAGACTGAAAAATTGTGAAAATTTATCTGGATCAATCTTTGTTGTTGCTTTGTCGTTTGTCTTGGAGGAAGATGCTTCTCTACTTGATCCGTGAAGAACGTTATGAACAACAAAGCAGCTGCAAGTTCAACCGAGTCTTGTTAATAAACCAGAAGAGGAAACAAAACATCATTCTCTGTATGTTCTTCAACTCTAAGGTAACATTTTACTTGCAGTTGAGAACTGTTCGTAAGACTGCTGAGATCTTTCCTTGAATCGTGATAAGCCATGCTTTGCCTGCATTCTGCAACTCCGTTGAACCTACCGAATCAAATGTCCCTAAAATCGCAAAAACCAGAAAAATTCGGTTCATCATTCTTCTTCTAACCATACTATCCCCAAAAGAAATGATCCAAGCTATGCTTTCGTTAACCTGCTTCCTCCAATCTACTGCAGCTGCAGATCTTTTCAAGATCGAGAAAGAAACTCAACATTCTCTTTAAACTACATTCCCTGATACATGTCTCTGTGAATGCAGAGTTTGTTCCATTAACTTTAGACCTTCGTGGCAAACAATCAATAGATTGCTGTCTTGGGGAAACTCGATTCTAACGGAATTTAAGGAACTTTGGATTCAGTTTCGTAAAGGGAAAACCAAAGAAGAGTCCTGAGAAGTTGTTATGCACTATTTAACTTGAGATTAACAGAAGCAAACGCATTTCAGATACTTGGAACTCGTAACGTTTCTTACATTCAACATTCAGGCCAAAGATGTAAGTCACTCCATAGAAACAGGAGGAAACAAGAACAAAAGAGTTTAGTGATTCATTTCAGATCTCTCAGATACAAGTAAACAAAACAGAGATGAGAGAAAAGAGAGATGATCTCAAGAGAGCTTTTATTAACTTCAGTCACTAAAAATGAGATATCAAGCATCAGCTTTAGCTGTTTTCTCGACGGGAGTGTAAGGATAATACTCTCTGCCGTTGTCCACTCTCGTGGTCTGGCCTCCAGAGTCAATCAAAGCAGAGGTAACAGCTAGAGTTGCACCCGCAGCTATCGCTGTTGGGATGCTCCTTGCTGTCCAAAAAAAGAAAAAAAAAATTAACCAAAATAAAACCAGGTAGCAATGTAGATTCTCATAAAAAGAATGCATGATCTAATCACTGAAAGCTATGTACTTTCAATCTTTACATACACAATATCTAAGGGTTTGCTAGACATACTCTAATATCAACCAAAGTCTTGGAACTTATGATATATCACTCAAAGCTCCTATATTGCTAATCATATCCATTCCAAAAACCCTTGGAGAGAGTCATGGACACATACACTAAAAGTAAAGAAGAAGGAAGAGCAAGTTACCTCTATATCCAAGCACAGAAGCACCAGCAACAAAACCACCAATAGCACCATTGAAAAAGTCTCTCTTGCCCCTATAACTCTGAACCACCTGTTCAACACCAATGTAAACTCCTCCAATAGCAGCAAAAGTGAGTCCATGAGTTCCCATCATCTTCAGCGTCCTGATGAGTCCAGGGAGAGCCACGTTTCTCTCCACTCTAGGAACGT